GCCCTCTCTCTTCCTCTCCCTTAGATCCTCAGCGCCCTCCCCCTCCATGGCAGCCAGCCTCTGCTCACAGTCCATGCAGCCTTGGGGGAGGAGGGGACACAGGCGTGGGGACTCTTGCTGGGGAGTTAATCAAAGTGTCTGCGACTTCTCATGTTCCCGTCCCCTCCCCGGGAGGTGTCGAGGGTGAGGACCAGGCTGCCTTTGACCGCTGGAGAGGCAGCAGCAGACACGCCGGCGAGTACAGACACCGACCCAACGTCGTCGCCTCAAAAATGACTTTTCCCGCAGTTTTCCTCCCTGGATGGGGTCCCCGATCTCTGCCAAGAATCTCCCCAAATTCCTGGCACTTGAGTGGCTCTTCTGGGAAAAGGAGCTCCCTCCTCTTCTTTCCACACCCAGACCTGCTGCCCCACTCCTTCGCCCCTTCCTCTGCTCTTTCAGTCACTGTACAATGGTGTGTTTATTTGGTGCCAGGCAGTTAGTTCTCAGCGCTGGGGACGCGGGCCTGCACAGGGGGAGTGGGTGGAGCATTTGAAAACAAGACAAAAATCCCAACCTTTGTAGAGCTCACTCTTTGGTGGGGGGAGAAAAAAAAACATATAAGTAAAATTCATCATTTTAAATGTAATGAAATGTCCGGGAGAAAAGGAAAGCAGGAAGAGAGCTAGAAACTGTGTTGGGAGGGGGGTTACCAGTTTCAAATAAGGAAGGATCTTGGTGAAAGGTGATGCTTGATAACGAATGGCAGGAGGAGATTGGGTGAGCCATGCATATCTCTGAGGAAAGAGCACTCCCTAGGAAGTACATGCAAAGGCCCTGTGGCCCAGGGTGTTCCTGAGCTGTGCAAGCAGCCAGAGGACCCATGTGACTGAACTAGAATGAGCCAAAGGAAAGCAAATGGAAATGAGGAGAGAGGTAATGGGGTGGGTGGGTGTGTAGTGGGGTGCTCTGGGGTTGGCAGGCCATCCTGAGCTCAGGTGGGAAGGACTACAAAGACATCCTTAGCCTTCCCATGCTCTGATCACCCAGATGAAGAAGCAGGACCTTGTCACCTGGGGCACTTGGGACCTTGCTTAGTTCTCCATATCCCCCTCCCCACTTGAAGCTGGACTCTGACAGCCCAGTATGAGTGTGTCCAGAGGGGCTGGGGGCTGTCCTAAGGCCACACAGTCCAGCCTCCCATCCCCCAGGGCCTCTGCCCTTTCCCGACCCCGTGGCCCCTGGCATGGCCCCGCGGGGCCCTGGCACAGTCTGTATAATTACGGTGACGATTCCCAACTCGCGGCTTTCCCTTCCCTTATCACCTCCCAGTGCGAAATAAACCGTTCAATAATTAATTGACAAAGATGAACCTGTTGTCCTCCGCCCGCCTGGGAGGGCGGGGTGGCCACAGCCTCGAAGACAAATGATGTGAGAAGTAATTGCCCTGCGACAGGAGGAGAGAGGGACCGAGATCAGATTCGCAAGGTCCCTTCCCAGAGCCCACGAGCTCCGGGCGGCGGCCACTGCTGGGATTTGTGTTGCTAATTCATCACTAATTAATGTTCCGAGTTGGGCCTGGGAGGAGGGGGAGTAGAGATGCAGAGAAGAGGCTCGGGCAGGAGGGGACCGACAGGCCACAGTGAGCAGCCCCAGGGGAGGGGAGGCGGGAGGGAGCGCGGGGGAGGAGCCCGCGGATTCCAGGCGTGGTCCCCAGCTTCCCGAGTGGCGGGAGGGCATTTCCTGGGCCTCAGTGTTGGTGTCTATAAAATGAAGTTGGGAAACTCTCTCCAGAGGTCCTTCTAGATCTGATATTGCCGTCAGTCCTGATTTCAAAGGATGAGTGTTGTGTGTGTGTGTCTGTCTGTCTGTCTGTCTGTCTGTCTGTCTACGCGGGCTCCGTCGCCAACACCCTGACCCAGGCCATCACCGTCTCTTGTCTGCATTATTACATCTGCTTCCACCTCCCCCGCCCCCACCACCATAGTCTATTTTCAGAGAAGCCAGAGGGATCCTTTAGAACAAGCCAGTTCATGCTCCACATCTGTGTAAACCTTTCATCTCACCCTGGATAAAAGCGAAAGCTGCAAGGCAGTTCCAGAAGCCCTGAGCCACATGGCCGCCATTGCCTCACCCACTCCAGCCACGCTGGCCTCATTGCTGTGGATGGCACATGCCTGCCTCCCCTGCCTCAGGACCTTTGCACCTGCTGTTTTCTTAGCCTGGAAAGTTCTTCCTGCACCTGTTCACGCGGTTCACTCCTCCTTGTTCAGGTCCCTGCTTGCCTCTCCAGGGAGGCCATCCTGGACCACTCCACTTCAACTGTCTGCCCTCCTCCTCAGTTACCACCTGCTAGACAGACTGCTCTGTGTGTTGCATCGGCTCCCTCCGCCCGGGGGGAACGTCCTCTCTGTGTGTGGGGATGCTGTCTCTTATCTGCTGGATCCTCAGCATCTAGCTCAGTGCCGGGCACCAGGTAGGTGCTTGGTAAATATTCCTCAAAGAATTCGGGGATGCTGCTAGGAGAGGGATTAACATGGAGAACCAGAGGAGGGGCTGGGGAGGTGGCCGTGGGGAGCTCTGCCCCTGTTCCCTCCGTGGGTCAGGGAGGAACTGGCGTCAGGACCAGACAGTGTCTGGGGACACGGGTGCCGCCTACTGGGCCTCAGGAGGGGCCTGGGCCTGTCCCCATCCTGCTGCTGCTGTGCCACAGAAGGGGTCCTTGTGGGCTCCTCCCACAAGCCTTGGCGCCACTGCACAGCGCAGGCATCCCTGGCGCCTCCCCCTAGTTTAGGGGGACGAGGGGCCATCCAATTGCTGCACAATAGGAGCCAGTTAAGGGAATGGAGTCGTCAATAGAGTGGAAAATTAGGCAGGCAGTTAGCAGGCTGAGCCCAGGAGCCCGTCCACACGGGGACTGTGTGTGGAGCTGTCCCAGGGGCCCCTGGGCTGCGCCAAGCGCCTGGGGCTCCTTTGCCATCTGCATTTAAGGAGCTCTTGCTGTGTGCTGCACACCTGCTGGGCCCTGGGGCACTGTAACCTGGAGACCCAGTCCTGCCCCGGCAGGGGGTGCACGGCCAGGCCAGGAGACATGTGCACGCGGATCAGGTCCTCAGGGGCCGTCTGTCCAGGCCAGCAGGCCTGTATTAAGTCCTGGCCTCAGAGGCCGGGAGCCTGGGCAGGGACCCGGGGCTGGGAGGCTTTCTTCCTCCCTCATGTGCCGTGGGGACCGTCCAGCAGGAGTCCAGGCCTGGAGTAGTTCTGCCGGTGTTTATTCAGTAACGATAACCACGATCATCATCACTTCTATAGGGACAATCATTGCTATTAATTACACGAGGACCTAGAAGCTAGTGGTTAAGGACACAGACTCTCGCCGGGCGTGGTGGCACTTGCTTGTAACCCCAGTGGCTTGGGAGGCTGAGGCAGGAGGATCACGAGTTTAAAGCCAGCCTCAGCAAAAGCAAGGCCCTAAGCAACTCCGTGAGGCCCTGTCTCTAAATAAAATACAAATAGTGCTGGGGATGTGGCTCCGTGGTCCAGTGCCCCTCAGTTCAATCCCTGGTACCCCCCTCCCCACAAAAAAGAATGCAGCCTGAGTCCCAGTTTTGGCTCTGCCATTTGACCAGCCCCGAGCCTCAGTTTCCCAGTGTGTGAACGAGGGTGGCAGATGCCCTGGCACCCCCAGAATGCAGCCCCTCCCCCTCCCCCATCGCAGGCAGCTCAGCCCTGCCGGCAGACACAGAGCACGCGCCGAGCACCCTAGTTTGCTAGGGAGATGGCAACAAAGCGCCACAGACTGGGTGACTTCAACAACAGAAATACCCTTCCCCATCTGGAGGCCGGGAGTGGGGGATGGGGTGCACTGCTGCCACCCAGCAGCCCCGCGAGAGGCCCCAGGAGCTTCTCCCTCCCAGCCCTCAAAGCGCCACCAGACCTAGCTGCTGGGGATCAGAAGTAAGTTGGGGCTGTTCAGAGGGTTATTTTAGTGCATCGAGTTATTTTTGTGCAGACTGAAAATCAGGTGGCCAGGGGCGGCTTCGCCTCCGTCTGAGTCTGAGCTTCGGTGGCCTTGAGAGTTTGGGGGAGGGGGAGGGCCCCGTGGGAAGAGGACGGTGGCCTGGGCTGGGTGGCCCGGGCTGAAGGGCAGCACTCTGCCGTCCCCTCACGCCCCGCTCCTCCTCGGCTGCAGAGGTGGACAGGAGCCCGGGACAGTCTCCCGGGCTGCCCCAGCCCCAGGCCCCTCCACTGTGGGGGCCCCATCACCCCAGGGGGCTCACGTGGAGTCAGGAGAGCGGTGGAGCCGTGGACGTGCCACTGGTTAGGTCGCTGATGTCCCGGGTGGCCTGTGGGCACAGCTGTAGAATGAGGTGGCCTTCGGAGGGGGCCGGCTGGGACAGCGTAGTGCGCTCACACTAAGAGCAGCGTCGGCGCCGGTCTTCCTCCCCCTCCGTTTCTGGGCCTAGATCTGCCCTTGGGGTGGCACCCTGGGGGCACTGAGAGAACCCATTTGTGGGGAAGGGGAGAAGGGGGTGTCCTATTCCCACCCCACCCACGGGCCATGTCCTTGAGCCACCTCCTGAGTTCAGCTCCTTGGAGAACCCGGAGGGCCCAGAGCTCGGGAAGGAGAGGAAGTCGTGGCACTTTTAGGTCCCTGTCCCTGTGAGGCGACTCATAAAGAGGAAGCCCCTGGGGCACCTTCTGTCAGGTGCATTTTTCTGAGTCCAGCCCAGGCCCAGCCAGCAGCCCAGTCCCCCTGCAACGCCGCAAGACCCCGTCGCCCCGCCAGTCAGGGGGCCTGGAAGATCCATCTGCACAAAGCACTTCTCACCTGGGCCAGGTGGAGGGCATCCCCTTCAGTCATTTCATGCCTGCTGCATACCTCTCCTCTGGACGCCATGTCCACAGACATGCAGACCTCGCCGTCTACCCGGACACCAGCACCTGGGAACATAGTCCTTTTATTCTGAAGGAATTAACCCTCGGACAGACTGTGCCGTGGCTGGAGTTCCCTGGGGACCGTCACAAGGCGGAGGTTCTCATGTGGGGTTTGCTGGGGAATGTTCTCCAGATGACTCCCGCAGGGGGTGACGGGGCGGGAATGGACCCCACCAGAGCTCAGGCCAGGCTGACCTGCAGGGATGTCAGGGGCCTGGAGGACCACTCGGTGGGTCCTCAGGCCCCGGGAGGGACGTGACTTTGACTGGGGGCCAGAGGGGGCGGTTCTGGAAGAGTCTGCTCCTGTGAGCTGACCTGTGCTCTGCTGGGAGTGGGGGGAGGAGTGTCTGGGTGTCCTCGGGGGTCTGAGCCGGGCGGGATGCACCCGATCCACCGGCCTGCGGGAAAGGACACTCACGGGGAAGCTGCTAGAGAACCTTGGGGACCCACGGAAGAGGCCCCCCCAAGTCCAGAACAGTGTGCAGAGCGCTGGAGTCGGGGACACCGTGCCCAGTGACAGGAGCCACGCAGGAGGCCAAGGGCCGAATGCTTTCTGTCATTTGTGGAAGTAGAGAGAGGGAGAAAAAGAATTTTAGAAAAGGGGGATCTCACAAAAATAGAAGGGAGACCAAGAGAGTGGAGAGAGGGGTAGAGAGGCAGGGAGGAGGGAGGGCCACAGGGATCATGCGTGGATCTACCAAATCATGCTATGTCCACAGACATGTCTGCCACAGTGGATCCTGCACACACACACAAACACACACACACACACAATTATAATGCACTAATTACAATAATAATAATAAGCGGGGCGCAGTGGCACATGCCTGTAATCACAGCAGAGTGGGAGGCTGAGGCAGGAGGACTGCAGGTTTGAGGCCAGCCTCAGCACCTTAGTAAAGCCCTAGCAACTTAGTGAGACTCCATCTCAAAAGAAAGGGCTGGGGATGTGGCTCCGTGGTTAAGTGGCCCTGGGGTCAATCCCTGGTACTATTACTACTAATGACAGAAGGAAAGTCAGTAGGGTAGAGCAAGCAGATCAGGAGGAGGAAGGAGGGGAGGGATAGGGGAGGGACTGGGGAAGACTGATGAAACTGCTGTGTGCATCTACAAATAGGTGCACAATCAATCCCACTGTTATAATGTACCAATAAAAATAAATTAAAAACAAGCATGCTAACATCTGCATTAAAATGGAGATAAGGACATCATGGAGACATATTTTTTTATATACGGTTGGAGTATTTCCAGTAGGATTCATAAATACGGGCCACAGCGACTGTTTTCAGGTTAGAGAACTGGGTGGCCGAGGGACAGAGAACAGGGGGACTTCCCTCTCTCTCCCCTTTCATATTTCTGAATATTGAGTCCTGCAATTGTATTGCTTATTTTAATAAATCAAAGCATGTTGCCTGATTAAACATGCTGGACTAAACGGTGTCCGAGAGTCCACTGAAGAGGTGCAGGAGACGGTCGCGGGGCCTTGGGGGAGCCTGCGTGTTTTGGAGGCTTGTGCGGCCCCCGGAGGGACAGGAGTGGGTGGCTGGGCAGGAAGAAGCCAGGAGCGGCTCTGTCTGAGTCTCTGACGTCTCTGACTGATGCCCGACCTCCGCAGGCTGTGTGTCCCTGAGCAAGGTCATCTAGGCTCTCTGAGCCTTGTCACCTCACCTATGAGGTAGGGGTCCTGTGCACACGACGGGATGCCAACAGCAGAGAGGCACAGACAGACCTGGGGACAGACAGTGAATATATGCCATTGAGTAGGGAAAAAAGAGAATTCCGGTCCACAGCACAGTTTCATTTCTGAAAACTAGGAACACATTCTCATGCAAACTAGCACCTCGTGCTTAGCAAGGTGAGGCACACGAGGACGAGGACGCGGATCAAGATGGCACTGCTCTGGTCAGGGAGGGGGGTGGGGGTCAGGGCTGAGGCAGAGGAGAGTAAGGAAGAGGGCGCGGTGCACAGGCCCAGGGGACACACCTGGAGCTGAGCAGGGAGATGGTCTCAGGTCTTGGCAGTTGAAGTTCCCTCCCCAAGTGAAGACCACCGACGGGTGTCACAAGGCTCACAGGAGAATGGCCCAGGGACACCTGGGTGCAGAGTGGGGCTTGGGTAAATATTTAAACAATCAGAATTCTTCTTCTTTTTTTTTGTACTAGGAATTGAACCCAGAGGCGCTTCACCACTGAGCCACATGCCCAGCCCTTTTTATTTTGAGACCCAGTCTTGCTAAGTGGCTTAGGGCCTCACTGAATTGCTGAGGCCGGCTTTGAACTCATGATCCTCCTGCCTCAGCCTCCTGAGCCGCTGGGATGACAGGCGCCTATCACCCTGCCCAGCAATAGTCAGAATTCTTACAAGGGTGTTTGCTCTTTCTTCAGAGGCCAGTGACCCCAGCTGCTGAGTAGGAGCAGAGTGTGCCCCCCCCCCTACTCCAAAGCCAACCTGCGCTCTCCTCCACCCTCTGGCTACAGGCCCCTCAGCCTCCTCACTGATGAAAACCTGAGACTCGGGGTTTAATAATGTGTGTGTCTGGGGACACGCGGACGGTGGTGGCTGGGCGTTCGGGGACTTTGATCTGGCTGGAGACCGGCCAGCTCATCTGTGGGAAACAGACCTGGAAGGAGGCGTGGCAACACATCTGTGCTTTCCTCGCTTGTCTGCTTTGTGGGATTTTCTCTCTTTGTCTGGGTTCAGCCCGGTGAGTTTCTCTTAATAGCCCTCTTCAGAACCCAGATAGCCCACAGCAGTCAGGCAGCCATGTCAGAGGGTCTGGATGAGATTTTTTTTTTTTAATCCTGCTTTTTGCTGGGCTTCCTGACTCTGTCACTTCACATTTTTGAAAAAATATAGTTTAGTTGTCAATGGACCTTTGTTTTATTTATTTATTTGTATGCGATGCTGAGAATCGAGCCCAGTGCCCCACCCATGCAGGCAAGTGCTCTACCACGGAGCCACAAGCCCAGCCCCTCTGTGACTCCTCATGGTTAACGAGAACCGGACGTCTCCAGCCTTTGCCATTCCAGATATGTCCTCCTCTCCGGTCGGTCCCTGTCTTCATCCATCCTTTTCTCAGCCTGTCTCGTTGCCTTGACTTGTTGTACTGTGACAATCAAAAGTGGGGCCCTGGACTCTGCTTCCCACATCAGTGATTCTTCAGATACGTCTAATCCGTCTGAACTATCTGTGGAGTTCATTTTCATCGTAAGGTCTACTTGGTGCTTTAAAATCTGTCTTGTCAACTTTTATTGTTGTTGAAGAAAAAAGAAAATTTAAAGACAAGCTAAGCTCTCACTGTATTGCTGTTCACTCTGGTCTCAAACTTCTGGGCTCAAGTGATCCTCCTGCCTCAGCCTCCTGTGTAGCTGGGATGCCATGTCATTTTTTTAGTTCTTTTTAAAAAAAAATTTTGGGGTGGAATCATGCTTTAGGGGTAGAGCATGCGCCTCACATGTGTGAAGCACTGGGTTCGATCCTCAGCACCACATAAAAATAAATAAATTAAATAAAGGTATTGTGTCCATCTACAACTGAAAAAATATTTTTTAAAAAATTGACGGGGGTTGGGGGGGTGGGATTGAATCCAGGGATGCTTTACCACTGAGCTATGGCCCCAGCTCTTTTTATTTTTTATTTTGAGACAGGGTCTTGATAAGTTGTCTAGGTTGGCCTCAAACTTGGAATCCTCCTGCCTCGGCCTCCTGTAACCTTGTCATTGAGAATCTTTTGTCATATAATCATCTTTGCTCTTCCATCTTTTAAAGAATTCAATAGCTCTTAAAAGTATTTCTTTAGCTGGGAACAGGGGCACACAACTGTAATCCCAGCAACTCAGGAGGCTGAGGCAGGAGAATCACAAGTTTGAGACCAGCCTTGGAAATTTAGCAAGACCCTGTCTCAAAGTGAAAATTCAAAAAGGACTGGGAATGTGGCTCAGTAGTGAAGCTCTTGTCTGATTAGCAGGAGGACCCAGTACTGCAAAAAATATTTTTTTTCTTTAAATGTTTTACATATAGTTATTTTTAAATCAGTATTTGATAACCCTGGGCCTCCTTGGGAGTTGGCCTCTGTTGTGTGTTCGCTGATGGCTGTCACTCATAGTGGCTTATTTTCTTAAATATTTGGTGAATCTTGGTCATGAGTTTGTTTTTGTTTAACCTGACTCTGAGGGACTACGTTGGAAGATGTTCCTCTGGAGAGATTTGTAATAACTGTCCTGGAAGCCAGGGGACACCAGCCACTTGAAACCCCCAGGCAGAAATCTCAGTCCGTTCCTGCTTCTCTGTTGTCATCCCCCTGTAGAACTGACCTGGGCACGTTCCCCAGGGCACTCCTGAAGACCTCCCTGACTTCTCCCAATCCGACCTCATTAAATGAGGGTTAGGGATCTGGGTGTTTTGGAGGGGGAGGGCCCTGGGGAGCGCCTGGCCCGTTGTCTTCCAGCGTGTCTAGGTGAGAGGCCGAGCGCTCCGGAGATTCAGAGCAGGACAGCTAAAGGTTACCAAGGCCTGGGGCTGCACATGGGGTGGCTGAATGAGCGGATCCCCAGACCCTCCAGGCCCTGTGAGCAAGAGGTCTGGGCGAGGCTGCATCAGCCTCTGGTGCCCCCTCCCCCATGCATGTGTGTCCCAAGCCATCCCAGAAGCCTTGGCCTGGAGGACGCTGGCTGGATACCACCAGAGTCTCACGGGAGCTCAGCTGCAGGAGACAGAGGCAAGGACACGGCATGGCCAGCCCAGTCTGTAGAGAGTGTAAACTCGGGCCACCGTGGTGAGGAGGGGGTTCAGGGAGGTCTGCATGGTGGAGGTTCCAAAGCCTCAGACCTTGGACTTGGCTTTCTCCCAGACAATCTCGGGAGCTGTGGAAAGCTCTGGGGGGGCAGGGGGCCAGCGACGAGTGGGAAGCTGGGTTTTGAGAAACTCAGGAGACAGTGGGGAGCTGGAAGGATCGTACCCTACAGTTACTCAGTCACTATGGAGAATAATTAACTAAATCATGCTGTTATTTTAATAGAGTTGTGTTTTTTAGAGAGGAACAGTGTCTAGCTGGTACTTAGTGTTCTAGGCTGTCCGCTCCTGGGGCCGGGGGAGAGGCTGAGCAGGCGGGTTGGCGTGGCTTCTGCAGGCCCCACAGTCCGCCTGGAGAGGCCGCCCGAGATCTGGGGGTACAGGGCCCCCCGGGCTCTAGCTGGCTTCAGAAGCTGGCCCTGGGCTATTCAGAAGAACACGTGGGTCAAGGTTCAGTTGATGAGGACTCCAAGGGGAAGGGGCGGCGGGGAAGGTTCTGTTTTTCCGAAGCACCTGGGCAGGGGGGTTCTTGCTAGGCCCCATCTGTCATTCTCAAGGACAGCCCGTCCCCAGGTGGCCCGGCCCCGTCACCACCACCTCCCAACCCCACCCCTGCCAACAGCCCAGCTCCATCCTGGCTGTCACCTGGATCTCAAGAGATGCGCATCCACCCGAGTGGGAGAGGTGCCACCCATAGGGCACAGCCTTCCAGGCCCTACGCCCACCCAGACTACTGCCTTCATTTCTCGTGGGTGGGAAGTCCTTCTTGCTATCTTGCTCTATGATCCAAACACGGTCTCAGTGCTGTTTCTGGGCTCTGGGCCCCTTGCAGTTTTTCGCTAGCGAAGCATCAGGGCATCAGAGCCGAGGAGGAATGGAGGGAGGTCGCCCCGGGATCCAACTATGGGGGGCGTGAGGGTCCCCTCCCTCCCTCTTGCCTATCGTAGGTGGACTGAGACTGCGCTAGGACAGGGGGCCTTGGGAGCCCAAAGGCCATCCTAGGGCTCCCTCCCTCCCTGCTCCAGTTCAGGTGCCCCAATAAGGTGTCCTGTGTGCAGGGCCCAGACCCTCCTGATCTGGAGTAGGAAGGGGCCCCTCACCCCAGCAGGGTCCCAACATTTTGGGGGCCACAGCCCTACCAGCAAGTGCTTGTCTGCACCTTAGCCAGGTCACCCAGTTGGGGTGCCACCCAGTTGGGATACCCCCCATTTCTTCCCAGGAGTGTGGCCCTGCTCAGGGGTATGGAGAGGGTCATCACAGGGCCATATGCTCATCCTCTGTGCTTTTTTCATACAAGTATACAGGTGTGAGTGTGTGTATGTGTGTGTGCGTGTGAGTGTGTGCAGCATCTCAGAGAATCTGAGCATCCTCGGGCACTGGATGAATGAACAAGTTCTACACCCAGGACATGGGAGTATTTTAGGGTTCTGTATTAAGAGAAAAATAGGGGCTGGGGCTGGGGCTCCGTGGCAGAGCGCTTGCCTGGCATGTGTTTGATCCTCAGCACCACATAGAAATAAATAAATAAATAAAGATCCATCCTCAACTAATTAAAAAAAATTTAAAAAAAGAAAAATAATAAGTATGAAAATTGTTTATAGGGCAGATACAATATATCAGCTTTTGAAACATGTAAAGTATGCTTCGTATGGCTTTTTATTGTTTCTTGTTTTTAGACATCCGTGACAGTAGGTGTATTCTGAAACATTCTACCTTCGTGGAGCACAGCCCCTTAGGATCCTGACCCCCTTCTGTGGCTGAACGTGCTGTCATTGTGTACGGGATCCAGGAACATGCTGACGGAGTGGGAGTGCCAAGGGACACCCGGAAAGACGTCCCTGGAGGCCAGTGGTCACCTCAGGGCTGAGTGGAAGGGGTGGGGAGGGGGGCTCCAGCTGTGTGGGGCTGCTGTCTGTGGCTGAGCCTCCAGGTGCCACGCAGCACAGCAGCTTGCAGCGACACACCTTCCTTATCCCACTTCCACAGGACCAGGGTCTGTGGACAGGCGGATCACCTTGACTGATTTCCGAATATTGAAGCAGCCTGACGTTCCATGGATAAACTCCGTTTGGTTCCGTGTATTATTGTTTTTAAGGCTACGTGGCCGCATCCGCCTTTCTAGTGTCTCCCCAGGACAGCTGTCGCCCTGTTGGTGAGGACAGAGGCTGCGGGTTTCTTCTCGTCTTCACCTGACTCAGGTGTGAGTCTGGCCCGGGCTGCGCACAGTGAATGGAGCGAATGCCCACTGGCCTGTTTTTTGGAAGAGATCGTGGAGACGGGTGCTTTTTCTTCTTTAAACATTTGAACATTTGGTGGAATCCACCAGAGAAACCATCCAAAACAGGGGATTTTTTTTTTTTTTTGAAGAATTTCATGTCCTTAGTAGATGCAGGATTGTTCTGGTTATTTATTTCTTCTCGAGTCTATTTTGGTGGTTTGTGGTTTTTAAGGACTTGCTCTAGGCCATCCAAGTCAAGGGTCGTTGAATTTCCTCTGTGATGGGACAGATAGACGATATTCCAGTCTTCAAGGGCGGGCAGGCTCCGCTGCTATTAACCATCACTGCAGCCTGAAAACGGCCACAGACGATGCAAAGTGAAGGGGCAGATCCGAGCTTCCCGGGATTTATCTGCCATAACAAATCCTTGCTAATCGGGACGTCTGAAACAACAGGAATGTATTCTCTCACGGCTCAGGAGGCCCGAAGTCTGGAATCAAAGTGTCATCGGGGGCCACGCTCCCTCTGAAGGCTCCGAGAAGAATCCTCCCTGGCCTCTTGCACCCGGGGCCTCCTTGGGCTCCTGGAAACACGACATCTTCAGCCTCCGTCCCTGGGGGTCTCTCTGTAGGCCTCTATCCAAATCTTCATCTCCTTTAAAAATCTATATTTTTAGTTGTAGATGGACACAATACCTTTATTTTATTTGCTGATTTCTCTGTGGGGCTGAGGATGGAACCCAGGGCCTCACACAGGCCAGGCAAGCGCTCTGCCACTGAGCCCAACGCCCGTCCCTCCGTCTCCTCTTTCTATAAAGAAGTTCAATGACCCTTGACTTAGATGGCCTAAGTCATGTTCAGCTTAGGGTCCATCCTGATAGAATCTGATCTCATCTTAACCAATTACAGTTGCAAAATTGTAATTTCCAAACAAGATCATATTCTGAGGTTCTCCATGGACATGGACTTTGAGGGGATGCTATTCAACTTAGTCCATCTGTGTTCCAGTAACTAATTTTTAAAAATAATAGTGAATCAGATTTGGCCTATGGGCCATAATCGGCTGATCCAAGATCTAAATGGTCAGATTTATGGATGCGGTGCTGTTGCAATATCTCATTATGATTTTAATGTTTGCCTGTGGGGTCTGTAGTGATATTCCCTTTTTCATTCCTAATATTGGTCATTTGTGCCTTTCTTCTTTGTCAATCTAGATATCGGTTTGTCAATTTTGTTGATCTTTTCATGGAGCATTTTTGAGCTTAATTAATTCTTCTCGATTGCTTTTCTGTTGTCAATTTCATTGATTTCATCTCTGACTTTCTACTAGTTTCTTTTCTTTTTCTCTTTATTTTTTATGCCAAGAATTAAATCCAGTGGTGCTTCACCATGAAGCCACATCCCCAGCTCTTTTTCATATTTTATTTAGAGACAGGGTCTTGCTAAATTGCTTAGGACCTCACTAAATTGCTGAGGCTGCCTTTGAACTTGTGATCCTCCTGTCTCAGCCTCCCAAGCCGCTGGGATTACAGGCGTGTACTACCATGCCTGGCTCTACTAGTTTCTTAATAAGTAAGTTTAGATTGTTGGTTTGAGAACTTTCTTTTTTTATTAGTATAATAATTTTAGAAATTTCCCCTCTCATCATTGCTTGAACTGTATACCACAAAATTTCATTTTTCTCTTTAAAATTTCCTTTCTGACCTATGGATCACTTAAAAGTTTGTTGTTTAACTTCCAAGTATTCTGGAGATTTTTTTCAGTTATTGATTTTTCATTTAATTCATTATGATCAGAAAACATACTTTGAATTTAAATTCTTTTAAATTTGTTAGCATAATGCTCGATTTTTGGTACTAGCCCTTAGATTTCTAAACCCCTATTTTAAAAAATGTTTTCTCTGTTATTCAAAGTAACTATTGATCACCCAAGCTTATTGACTCTTTATCATTTCCACTTCACTATTGAGCAGAAGTTTTCTTTCACTCCTTACATTTTTCAGTTCTCAAATTTCTGTTCGGTTCTCTCTTGTATCTTCCATTTCTTTGCTAAGACTTTCTTTTTTTTTTTTTTTTGCTGAGACTTTCCATATTTTCGTGGTTATCATAACTGCTTTCCCCAACACCTGTGCCGTCTTGGATTGGCATTTGTTGACTTTCTTTCTTTTCATTTTAAGATTCCTGGTTCTTCACATGTCAAGCAATCTTGGATTTTATCTAGGACATTTTAAACTTTATGTTAAGTGATTGTGGTTCATCCCCAGCCCTTTTTTGTTTTTGTTTTTGTTTTTTTGTATTTTATTTAAAGACAGGTTCTTGCTGAGCTGCTTAGGGCCTCACTAAGTTGCTGAGGCTGGCTTTGAACTTGAGATCCTCCTGCCTCAGCCTCCTGAGCCACTGGGATTAGGCCTGGACCACCTCAACCAGATGTGGGTCTTATTTCAATCCTGATAAGTATATTGGGTTATTTCTGTCAGCAGGCATTCAACCTATTTAGGCCTAGGCTGCAAGCTCTGACCGGCCACATGGGCTGTTTCCAGTGTCCTTTAGCTTCCGGTGTTTACAGCGCTCCAAGAGTCAGTCCATCTGTACCACACTTAGAGGCCAGTCTCGGCCTGGAGAGGATCTGCTCTGGAGCTCAGTTCTTAAGTCCTGAGATAAGCTGCTTAGGATCATATCCAGGACACAGCTCAGAGGTGGAGCTTAGAACTCACTTACATCTTTATGAGATTACTCTCTGGAGCGCCTCTCTTCCATGATCCACCACACACCCTAGAGATCCCTGGAGCCTCTTTCCCAGTATTCCAGCCGGAAATCTAGGAATTCCATGTGCTCACTGTGCTGCAGTACATGGGTCAAGAGATGGAAAGAGGAAGGAAGGAAGGAAGGAAGGAAGGAAGGAAGGAAGGAAGGAAGGAAGGAAAGAAGGCAGGAAGGAAGGGAGAAATAACCACTGGGGGTTCGCTCTGTGTTCCTGGGATCACAGCGGCTCTGATCATGGTGAGAGCGTCCCTCCCTTGGAGGCTCAGACACCTGCCCAGCCTCCTAGATCTGCCACCCTGTGCGGCCATCACCGGGGCTACCACGTGTTTTCTGAGAAACAAAAACAAGAAGGGGTTTCTCCCACTCCCGCAGGCCCCCCTCCTGGGACCAGAAACAGAGAGCGTCTTCCGGAGCCTTCTGTGTGCACTCGCAGGCTGCAGCCGCCTGGAGTCCAGGGCAACCCAAGAGGGTGAAGCTCCCCGTCTTCCTGAATGGTCTTTTTCAGGGTCCTCTGATACACACCCCACAACTCGGGATTCATGGTGGCACAGGGTGTGACAGAACCAGAACCCAAACCCTTATAAAAGAGGAAAATCCAACTGAGATTCCATCACAGGGAACCCCACGGCCATGGGGCCACCTTGCTGGCCCACACCTCAGGAGGACATGGCCTGTCAAGTCATCCAGGGACCCCCCAAGGCCCGGCTCTTGGGACACACCCTGAGGCCGACCCCCTGCCCCCTCCCTCTCCCCCCTCTGGGTATTCAAAGGGAAGGTCTCCCCTCCCCTAGGCACCTGCCTCCTTCCAACAGAGTCCTTGAGACCAAGCCTTCTCTGTGGTGTCTCGCGCCTCCCCCTGGTGGCTGGGAGGGCCAGCGCAGCTGGATGGTGCAAGACAACACCTTGGGGGGCTCCTGTCCCTGGGAGGGATGGGGACCAGGCTCAATTCGCACAGAGCCTGCAGGACTTTCCACCCTGCCATGTTTTTTTTTTGTGTGTGTGTGTGTGTGTGTGTGTCTGTCTCTTCTTATCAAACCCAGACTTTACACATGCTAGGCAAAGGGCTCTACCACCAAGCTACACCCCCAACCCCACTTTGTCGTATTTTAATTCTTGTTTGTCTGTCTCAACAGCTGGGGGGCTTCCTCAAAGAGCCTTGTTCCTTGAGTTGCTCCGGAGTCCAGCACCGTGCCTGTGTGTCATCAAGGGAGGCTGAACAGACAGGATCTAGTCCTTTCCCCGGCCCCTCCTGCCCCACTCCTGTTTTCTTGCTCCTCGAGGGGTTAAGTTACCATTTTTTGTCTCTATATGACAGACAGAGTTAATCTCCTCCAGTCCGTCAGTGGGGGAGGTAGTGTCATTTCCTTTTTAATTAAAACACCAAGGTTAAAGAACCCAAGTCACATAGTTAATAAAGTGGGAGCCAGGATTTGAACTCTGGGCTGTTGGTCGCAGTTGTCCATCATTCCTTGGTCTCTCCTCACTTCTCCAATCTCAGTGCCACCCCTGAGGCAGAGACTGTTAATTATGCCTTCAAATCCATTTTTCATATTGACAGTTTTTGCCTTCGTCTGGGGTCATCTAAAAATAAAGACTAAAATATTAGTCTCTTCTAGCTATATGTGACAACGATGTAAGTAAAATCAATATGTGCGACTTCTGTGGAGGAGCCCTAAAGGGACGAGGTGCTGCCACTCATGTTGGAGTCCAAGCAACCGTCTTGGGCCAACGCAGAAGCCACATGTGGGGGACGGCAAAGCTATAAGTCGGAGGGGGCCTAGATATCAACCCTGGACCGGCACCGCAGACAGACCTTATCGATGTGAAAGAGATCAATGCTCATCTGATTAAGGCAGTTGTTTGGGGTTTTCAGTCCATCTGAGCATACCACCCCTTATCTGGGTGACCACAAGAGCCTTCAAAGAGTGTCCCTGCTTCTTCCATCCCAACCAGATGTCACCTCATCTTTAAACAGTACGTTTTTCTTGTTTTTTTCCCCAACTCATGTTATGCCAGATTCCTTGGACCTCAATAGACCTCCAGGAGCCGAATCCGATGCAATCACACAAGTTTTTATTGCAAACTGGAGCCTGGACTCACAACCATTCCCGACGCAGCGGTCCCAGGGAGTGAGTCCTGGTCCTTTGTTCAGTGAGATATTATAGGTTTTGGGGGATACTCTATGTGTCACAACATCACACAGCTAATCGTTCCACACCGCGGGAAAATCAAACAACGACTCTTAACATTGATTAGCACATTCACTGGAGGGAACAAGTTGGGTAGGGGTGATTGGTTAATACAAGAAGGGGATTCCTTTGAACTGATTGGTTTAGGCCACACCATGAAGGGTGTACGTGCTGAACTACATGGTTTCCCAACATGTTATCAACCACCATAAACTACTTGGGGGTCATCTGGCATCCCAGGTATTTTCCCTGTCTTATGCTGATTGGTGGTTGCTAGGGGGTTGCTATGGGTCCTCACCTAGCCTGACTGAGTCAGGGACACCTGGTGCCACAGATCTCTCCTCTTATTTACAGACAAATAACTCTGCAGGGTCGGTATGTGCCTAGGAGTGTTCTGTGGGTTTTTCCAAGGACAAGGATCACGCCCCCTTCCTTGGACAGGCTTTGCTCTGAGGTAGAGGCTGGTTTCTCAAAGATGGAGTCACATTAGTTTCTAACTCACAAACCTTGCATGGATCTCTTTTTCCTACTGAAAATAATTCCAAACACATTAGCTTGACATTCGAGGCCACGCTGTCACCTAGCTTCATCTGGCCTCACATGCTCCGCAGGACTCCGTGCCAAGCAGGCTGCTTTCCCTGATGTCTCCCTCACATACTATTTCGAGTGCTGGCTGCTTAACAAAGAACTCTGAAATGTCAGTGCCTTATCCCAACCAAGGTTAAGTGCCCCCCATGTCACAATCCCATGTAGTTGGCAGTGGAGGAGGGGTGGGATTCAGTCCCGCACATTCAGGGATCCAGACTCTTCTTCTGGTGATACTGACATCTTCAAGTTTCAATCTCCAAGGTTTCTGACGGGAAGAGTGTGGAGGATCACGCACATGGAATTATAGGAAGTCAGAAAATCAGTGTCCATTGCTTCCCTCCATATTGGGACCAGAACCCAGTCACTGGCTGAGTGAACCGCAAGGGAATCTGGGAAATGTAGTCTTTATTGCGTTTGCCCAGGAGAAGTGCCATCGCTCTGTTGAGGACTTGGCATAGTCTCTACCACGCATGCCTGACTCTTGCTCTGAGTCTCTGCCTATACTCTTTCTCCACCTTTTGGAATACCCTGCCTCATCCTCCCCGTTCCTGGAGGACACACTCAATCTTGGTCTTTCCTTTGAAGCCCTTCCTGATGGCTCTGTCCCCCCAGTGAATAAGCCATGGAATTGCCTGGAACAAGCCATCTGCCACAGGGTTCCAGCCTCGATTTCTTTATTTAGTGTTTGCATCTGAAGCTCAGCTGCAGGACACTCTGAGACGTCAAAGACCGTGGCTTCTACACATGTGCCCCAAAATGCACTTGTTGCAAGTGAACAGCATCAGAAACGAGACACGACAGGGCAATGAGAACATGACACCATGCTGCAACGTTGTCCCCAAAGAGGAGAACTTGAAACTGATCAGGAGGAAGCACTCCACAGATCCAAACTGAAGACCGTCTACGAAGTAACTCGCTCGTAATCTTGAAACATGGTGAAGTCACCAAAGTCAAGGAGAGACCTGTTTCCTAGAGGAGGAAACTGAAGAGAGGTGACAACTGAAGGCCACGTGCGATTCCAGGCCGAGTCGTCTGCTAGAAAAGACGTGACAGGAGCAATCGCCAGAACTTGAATGGGGTCTCTGATCTGAGGGCAGCGGTGCAGGACACTACCCTTGTGTGCAGGAAATGCACGCTCAAGGACTCGGGGTCACAGGGCATTCATTCAATTTTCAACTTTTTTTGAATGGTCCAGAAAATACAAGTTCTTGGTACCATGCTTACAATTCTCCTGTGAGTTTGTTGTTTCAAAATAATAATAATAAAAAATGCCTGTTGGAGGGAAATGTCAATAAATCTCAAAGCACAGGCAGAAAGGCACATTTCCCAGGCAAGCCTCCCGGCTCCCGTCACCCTGTGGCTGTGTCCAGTGGTTTTGGCAATCAGAACACTGCTGTCTCCACTGCAGCCACTCCCCGCCTCCTCTCAGGAGACCCTGATTTGCAGTGCATCTGGTCATATAACATTCCACTCCTCTCTAAATCCTGGGTCCGGGGACCAGGGCATGATGACCTAGGTCTTTAGATCAACACTTCTCCTACAAATAAGAGCCCAGAACAGAATATTTTTAAAGAAATAAACTTACATGCTTCAAAAAGATCTAAAGGCATAAGAACTGCCAAGCTCATAGGGGGACAAAAGCTCGTAACTGGAGAGGTGACGCCAGGGCTGTCCACCCTGAGGTTATTTGCAAACACTGCCCACACAGGTTCCGCCTCAGAGAAGACGCGAGGGGAAAGGGACAGAAGCCAAGGCCCACCAAGGCCCAGGTGGGCATCTTCCAGGAGACCCTGCCACATCCCACTGGGAGGTGCTCACAGGGTGCACCATGGAGGAAAGGGTGCCAGGAACTGGCTTTCCCAGACTCCTTTGCAACTAAGGTGACTACATGACTCTGGCCAACGAGACCCAGAAGTCGCCGCAGTTTCTGGAAAACCTTTCTCCCTGGGGGAAGAGAAGCCATGAGGAGGGCTTGCTGCCTTTAAAAACAAAAAAATTAAATTATTTTTAGTTGTAGGTGGACACAGTAACTTTATTTTATTTATTTATTTTTTAATGTGTTGCTGAGGATCAGACCCAGTGCCTCACACATGCTTGTCAAACGCTCTACCACTGAGCTACAAACCTCCCTTCCCCCCTTTTTTTAATGCTGGAGATTAAACCCAGGGTTACTTAGCACTGAGCTACATCCCAGTTCTTTTTATTATTATTATTATTTTTAAATTTTGAGACAGGGTCTTGTTAAGTTGCCCAAGTTTGCCTGGAACTTGCTCTCCTTCTGCCTCAGCCTCCTGAGTTTCTGGGGTTGCAGGTGTGCACCACAGCACCTGAGAATGCCGTCTTAGAAGGCTGCAATGAAGTGCTCTGGCAGCCATCTTGTGAACATGAGGTGGACACTGTGTAGCTTACAAAGCAGAGGGATCTGTGAGGAGCCTGAATCACTGACCAACTAAAGAAGCACCTGCTTCCAGACCCTTTGCTGCTTGAGAAAAACTTGTTTGAGAATAAAAACAAAACAACAACAACCACAACAAAAACCAGTTAAAGCCATTGGGAGCCTAATATTCTCTTATTTCTAGTAGAAGGCATCTCCCAACTGAGAAAACCCACATGCACCACAACCGCATGACAGGAGCTCGACTCTTCTTACCTTTATCACTCGCCACCCTCAGAGTCACATGGTGGCCCTCTCTGACTCCCAGGCAGAACAAGGAGACAGGGAAGAGTGAGAGCAGGGCCCCTCACCCCCATGGCTTTGGAAGTTCACTGCAGCTCTGCCCCTCCTCCCGCAGGGTTGATGACATACAGGGTTAAGAGGTGACCCCAGGCCCAGCCTCTGCCCCACCCCCACCTCCCTACAGGATCTGAGCAGCTCCCTGGGCTCAGTCATGTGATCTGCGAAGTGGGGAGATAGATCCTGCTGTACCTGCATCTCAGGGTCGGCGTGAGCGTGGGCAGAGAAACCCCTGAGCCTGCGGAGGCCTACACATCCATACAATGAAGTTTAACTTAAAAATCGGGTACAGAAAGAGATGAATAACTCATAATGAAATAGAACAATCATAACAATTTACTGGAATAAAAGTTATATGAACATAATCTCTCCCTCTTGAAAGAACCAAGACAAATATTAATATTTTTAGACCGCATCTCACCAAAGCCACCGAAAGCAAATCCATGGCTGAGAGGGGGCCGGGGCGCTGGGTGAGTCCCACAGCAGCTTTCCCTCCCTCCCCTCCCCCGCAGGCCGACCCACCACTGGGGGGACCCAGAGGGCACCCAGGGGAGCCCCACCTCCCGCGGCCTCCCTCTTTCTCTTTGCTGAAGGTACCTGCCGCCCCTAGACCTCCCCTGCCCCCTCTGACCCCAGCCTCCTCCTCCTCCTCCCCTCTGTGTGGGGGAATGAGGGAGATAAGAGGCAGCAGCTTCAATTAAAACCGAGTCGCTTGAACAATAATGGAAAAGTAATTGATCTAAATTGAAATGTAATTGGAAAAAAAAAAAAAACAGTCGTGGCTTAACATGGATTTAGAAACCAGGCTGGGGGCAGGGGCCTCCCCGCTCTCCTGCCTCCAAATCTCCTTATCTCTCCCCATATCTCTCCCCATCCCTCCAGGGGCCCGGGACCCAGAGTCCCTGCATCTTCCCGGGCTCCCCCCCCCTTCTCACTGGACCATTCCAAGCAGCACCTCACCCTCCACGGGCTGCGTGTGGGTGGTTGGCATGACGGGGGAGGATGGGTGCCACCGGCATCTAGCAGGCAGAGGCCGGGGTGCTGCTAAGCACGGTGCTCAGGACAGCCCCCCACAACGAAGCACTGTGCAGCCCCTGACTCATTGGTGCTGAGATTGAGAAACCCCGCTCAGCTGCGGCTCTCCACCATCCGAGTGCCCAGCCATCAGCCAGGAGGCCTCGAGCTCTCTCTTCCTGCAAGAGGAAGACGTGTGTGTGTGTGTGTGTGTGTGTGTGTGTGTGTCCTGTAAACCCCTGTGAACCGCTGTCCTTACCTCCAGGGAGACACGCCCTACTTCCTTCCTCCCTGCCAGGGACACTACCCTCACTTCCTTCCACTCCTGCCCATTGCTCTGCCCCTTCCCCGTCCTTTCCTCTTCTCTGCAAGCTGAGGAGTGGACATGAGGGTCTCCCTGCCCATCCCCTTCACTCAAAAGGGCCTCCAATGCCAGTCCTTGGAGGGACCCTTTGGAGGACCAGAGTCACCACATCATAAGGTGCAGATGGCAGAGTTCCCCTAGAGATCACCCTGATAGGTGGGAACAGGCACAGGGCTTGCCCCTGGCTGGGTGGGGCATGGCTGGGGCAGTCCTGGCCTCCAGCCTCCCAACTGTGCTGGGCCTCCACAGCGAGCCTCCACAGCGAGGACCATCGAAGAGCTTCTCCATGTCCGCACCTGGACTTGGCCCTGCCACCCACAGAAGCCAGGCCTGGCCTCCTCTGCCTCTCCATCTCCCTCCATCTCTGGCTTCTGCCTCTCCTCCAGGCCCCGTGGGAGACTCCAACGAGGGGGTGGGGACGGGGGTGGGGACCGGGGGGTGGGCGGGGGGTGCCTGTTCGGGCTCCCGATAAACTCTGGAGTCAGCTGGCGTGAAATGAAGAAATATGGCTCCCGGTAAATATTTATTTTCTATCAGAAATTAGCAAACCAAATGTAATTAAAAACAACTGTGTGTGCCATCTCCACTCCCACCCAACCCCAAGTCTAGGAAATGGCATTGCGGAGTCGCGAGTCGCAACGACAGTCCTAATGAGCAGGCCTCGGTGGAGACTCGGGCTGCAGGGAGCACCCAGGCCTGGCAGGCCCCGAGCCTCCGGGCCCCTCTGCAGGGCGCTCTCCAGGTCCCCACCCAGGACTGAAGGGTCTGAACTCGGAGTAGGGCCCCCCAGGGTAGGAAAGGGGACTAGACCTCTCCTCCGGGAGCAGAGGCGGGAGGCAGAATCACCCCTCGCCTCTGCCCGGGGCCCACCCATCCTCAGGGAGATGGCAGGGTGCTGGTTGAGAACATTGGCTTTGGAAATCAGCAGAACCCCGTTCCCTCCCTTTCTGGCTTTGTGAGTGTGAACAAGTCTCTAATTCTCTGAGCCTTAGTTTCCTGATTTGTAAAATGGGGATGGTAAGGCCTACCTTGCAGATTCACCAAAACTGTAGTAAGTTCCTACTATGTGTAGGATTGTGGAGATAGAGCAGGGATCCAGACTGACGTCACTGCTCCCAGGACACATCTTCTAGGGGCACGCAGTGGGTACTCAGTAATCAAGAGTATCCTCTCCCACCGCTTCATGGCACATTTAGGCTGCCAGGCATCCTGCACTGTGAGCACTGCCCAGGCTGTCTCATTGCTATCCCTCTTTGTTGAGTACCTACTATGCACCTGCTACTGTGCTGCATACTGCTCCCCAGAAGAGACATAGCTACCAAGTCTGAGCCTCCCTTGCCTCAGGAGGGGTGCAGCATGGGCAGAGATCCTGACTTCCTCTGCTGTGTCCCTTCCTCTACCCAGGCCGTGGGCTGTTGTCCTCCAAGAAGTACTTGAGACCCACCCCCCACAAGGGCTGTTTCTCACCTGTCAATACTTCTATTTAAAAATCCGCAATGTCCCAGGACCAGCAGGGTGAAGTCCACCTCTGCTCGCCATCTCCACAGCCCAGCGCTCTGACCTGGGTTCACACCCTGTGACCTGGTCACTGAAGCAGATCCTGTGGAGGCCACCCGTCACCAGCCCCAATCCCAACTGCCAGCACCTGGGCATCTCTGCCCAGTCACTCTGCCCAGAGCAGCCCCTGTCCCGGGGGTTGCTTATAAACACCACCTCTTCTAGGAAGCCTCCCCTGATTGCTGGAGCCCACTCCACTGTCTGGCTGCCTTCCATCTCTGCATTCTGCTTGAGGTGCTTGGCACAGACTTCCTGGTATCAAGAATGCCGCTTTCCATGTCCAAGCTTGATCTTATCAGATAGATCGATAAGATTAAAGGGCTGTACTCCTGCTGCCCAAGGTCTGGGGTTCAAGTCCTGGTTCTCATTTAACAGCTGTGTGACCTGGGCCAAGTTATTTCACCTCTCTGAGCCCTGGCTTCCTTACATGGTGGTGATCACAGAAACCTCTCTCATGCTTGCTTCAAGAAATAAAGGAGATGAGATAGATAACTTATTTGATAGGATGCCAGACACAGAGTAGTGTCGAACACAGGTTGTCCCTGTGGTT